GATCCACTTTTAAAATCTTGTTTTTGAGAACTTGACCTTTTTTGTTACAAGTGACCTTGTCTGGAATGTCTGAAAAGTAGTTAATACTTTTTGGGGTTCTCTGTAATGAGTAAAACTGACTTCTTAAGCTACAGTATTGGCTATATATTTTTGTAAACTTACAAGGAAGGGCCTTCTATCCAGTCTTCACATGCACACACCCTGGTTCTAGGTCTTGGGAGCCATATTCTACATTTGCATGGATAGATGCATGTACAGCTTAGTCAGCCTGCCAAAAGCACTTGCCTGAAATTGTTCCAGACTCTGGGAGAGAGCACAGAGACCTGGAAAGCAATTTCTTTGTTCCTCAGCCATAACTTAGCATCTGCTTTCAGCACAGCTGCTGTTTTACAGTGAGGTGGTGTTAGGAGGTGAGTGGCAGCAGAGTTTGAACCCTGCCTGTAAGGCAGGTATTGTTGGCCAAAGCTGGAGAGCTGAGGAGAGGCCTTCACTTGGTTCATAGGATCAGACAAATTGTCCCTACACTCACCAAGCCCGGGGGACAACATTTGAGTGAAATGCTGTATTGTGGGAAAACTGAAACTATTCTGTGTGTCTGTGTTGGGGTTGAGGTGGAAATTTCTCTGTAACACTGATGACAATATTCTAAGCTTTCCTTTTCCTGAAAGGTAAATAACTTCAGACAAAGCTTTAATTTCTTTTGCACTTCTGTTTTGAGCTTGTAACTGGAAAAGCATGTCTTGCACTGTTCAGTCTCTCTGGTCACTTTAACCACCTCAGAGTTGTGTACAGTGATTATTCCCCTCCCCATCTGTATATTTTTGGAAACTTATACAAATACCATTGTCCTTGGTTTTGTTTTAATGTACTAAACTATGTAGCTTTATCATTTGACTTATGTTTTCTTTTTTTAACTAGCTGCTGCTTTGGGTTTAGGTGGTTCTGAATTCAGCTTGGGATGGCACGGAAGATGCAAATGCTGCATTTGTAGCTGTTCACAATCTCAATACTATGGCTTAAAGTGCAAGTTTCTCTTTCATTTTGTACAGCTGTCAGCATAACACAGTGGCTGTACTTAAAGCACCAAACAAACAAATCAGAAATTGTCTGGTCAGGTGTTACATAATCACAGAAAATGGATCTTTTTCCTGAATTTTCAGCTACAGTTTTTACTTCTAAAACATATTGGCTCATAGCAGGAGTAGCTTTGCAAATGCCTAATGTTTTGCAGACATCTAGTATTCAAATAAACTTCTTGAATAGTTTGAGCCTTTTTTAAAAAAGGCATTTTTTTCTTAAGCATCAAGGAAATTATGAAAGGTTATCTGAGGGAAGACTTAAACTGTTAAAGGAGCATTGGCTGGTACTGGTTTTCTACAGCTCAGAATTTTTTTTACTATTAAGAATCTCTTTAAAATAGTTACCTGCTCTTCAGGTTAAAAATACTGGCATATACTTTAAAAAATAATTTTGAATCAAAGGGTCAGCATGATAGCTATAATTACTGTGTGATACAAATTCATTTAATGGTTATTCATGATGAAAAATTCCTGTGATGGACTATTTACCAGCTATTTGTGGTGAATTACTTCCAAACAAGTATAAACCTGTGAATTGCATTTACTGAAAAGGTTTATTCATACATCTCTGAAAATCTTTCACCTTAGTTTCTTTATTAATTTCTAGAACATGCAAACAATTTCCCTCCACCCCCTTCACAATATACAAATAGTTTCAGGTTACTCAAGAGTAACATTTATTTATGTGTCGGGGAATCTCTAGCTCTGCGTAAACTGAGCTGGAAACAACAACAGCTCATTGTTACATGAAATGTTCTCTGTGAATGTGCCAAGTGCCAACTTGGAACCTTCAACTCAAGGAAGTGTCACGTGCTCCGAGTTTGCAGGTGCATCCTGATTCTCCACGTGCTGATGAGCACAGTAAATGGAACAAGGCCTGAGAAACGTAACAGATACCTCACAGGTGGTTACAAGGCAGCCCTGGAAATGCCATGGCAAAGGCACAGCAGTGTTTTGTGCTTCACTTCCCAGGGAGGGAGGCATCATATGGCTCTCCCTCTGGAATATACACTGCTGGCACAGACAGAATGGAGAAAACAGGATGAAGTAATAGTTTGGAGAAAATAGCTGCAGCGTTGATTTCTGACACCGTACTGTCCCTTATTAAATAGAAAGTATGCATTTGCAACATGCTGATAAATTGCCTGGAGTAAAAACTAAATCACTTTTCGTTCTAAATGTCTGTGCACCTTTACATGAGTTGGTGCATCGGCCTGGAGAAGTGTAATGTCTGTGGTGGTTAGTGGCTGTATAATCTGTTAAAGGCAGGTGTAGTTTACAAAATGAAAAACTGTTTTATTTGCAGCCACTGTTCAGCTTTAGTACTTGTATCAAGGGCTGAAACAGAACAGCTCAGGGTTGACAGGGAAAGCAATTGTGTCTTTTATAGTTAGTTTCTTAAAATAACTTAAAACTACTAAGGCCGGTGTTCCTGCTTTTCTAAAAATAGCAGCTTGCCTTGAAAATTTTTTTTGTCATACTAGGGTTGGAGATTTTTTTTTTACAAATTTATGTATCTAGTGAACATGGCGAAAATGGGATCAGAAATGCTTTTTTGAGGGAAAAGCTGTTTGCGACCAGGTCTTGCTTCCCAAATGGAACAGCTTGTATGTAAAAGGAGTGTGCAAGCACCTTCCAAGCAAGGGCTAATGGATGTCATAGGTGGAAGAAGGAAAGACTACCTGCTTAACAAGATAAATTTCACAGAATAAAGAACACATAGAAACAAATGGAATTTCTCCAATTCCTGATGTTTGCTCAGCATTGCACATTAATCACTGAAGTTCATTAATGTTACAAGGATGCCTGTGAATAATTTCTTAACATAAAAGGTAAGACAGAATTGAACAGAAACTTGGTTGCTTTCACTGAGATCTAAGGGGGAGCACTAAGATTGCCTAAAGAATTTTCAACATTAAGAGCTTCTTGGAAACAGGATGACGTAGGATATAGTTGAATGTGTCGTGAGACAGGAGATGGCTACCTGATTTCTTGGTGTTCCTGATGGTATTAAGAAGGTAACTGGCAAATTACAGTGGTGGATTGTTATTTCATTCATAAGTTAATTCAGTTTGGACTATTTTACAGCAACGTGTCTGCTGGGTGTCAACTGTTCTGATACTCTCCAGTTGCATTCCTGTGCTGCTTTGCACCATACCTGGACCAGCTTGCTTCTCCATGTGCTCTCTGCTCTTGCAGTTGTCCTTCCTGGATCTCACCTTCCTCACTGGACAGGAATGCACTGCTGGCTTTGGTTTACATGTAACTGAACATTCTAGGATTTTTGTTCTAGCTTTGTGCCAGCTGAAGGCACACTAGATACTGGATGTCTTTATCTTTAGAAAGGAAAATGTCAGATAGAAAAACTGTTAGCTTGCTGAAGACCTAATAAATCTGGATTTGTTACACAGACTGTTTAAGGCAGAAAGACCCAGTGAGTAAATAGAAAGACACTTGGCTCTCCAGTAGACTTGGGCAATTAAATTTTCCAAAACTTTCCTGTTTAATATTTTTCTTAGTCTTTTAAGCCTCGTTTAGCTGTTCTGGAATGTTTAGTTTATAAATCCGGGCTCTTCTATTTAGTGGCCCTACTGAAATTTGTGACCATTTACAAACCTATATATGCATTTGCAGTGCTGTAAACCTGCCTCCCCCAATGCTCCTGTTGGCCGAGCTGCAACCTCTCTCATCAGCTGACACATTCCTCCTCTTGGCAGGATCCTTCCCAAGGGTGAGAAGGTCTTTAGTGATGGATAGCAGTGCTAATATTTGAACTACAAGAAGGGAACACTTTCAGAAATGTTACTCACAGTGTTTGGAGTGCAGCTGAGTGGAACACTGGTGACCCTGGCAATTCTGCACTCGGCTGCTGCACGGGCAGCTCAAAGGCTCTTCCTGGTTTATTGTGAAACGGTCACTGACCGAGAAGTAAACCTTGCAAGGTCACAGTGCCTGGATGAAATCTGAAAACATCTGGTTTGCCTCCTATGCTGCACCAGTCCTCATGGAGTCTGCAGAATTCAGATCCTGTGGCTAAGGAGGGAAAAGCTGTGCACGAACTTTTCCACGTCTCATCCACTTGCTCCGTTTTTCCCTTCCAATTCCCATCCTAATATGAACGGATTAAAAATGCATGCAAACAAATTTATTCACAAAGGTGTTATGTTTCTTTGATCCTGTGCTTTGTACATTATTTAGATTGCAAATATTGTCCAGTAGGGATTGTATTTCCCCTTCGTGGGCCCAGTTGCACATGGGGCTTTTAGCAGCCAGTACGCATTAGCCCTTTTTATTAATTATCACAAATAAATTTTAAGTGATGCAACATAAACCTTGAGATACTAATAGTACATTAACAGATAAGGTGTAATTTAATTTGTGATAACTTTCTCTGCTGCTTTTGTCACTATTACTCATTTAGAGTATTTCGAGTGAATTTTTGATCTACTGATTTGGATTATTTTTGGGTGGACAAGTAAAATCCCAAGCAAGTAGTCATGCAACTTCTATATTAATTAATCTTTGTAACTGAACTTCCCGAAGTCAACATTATATGAGAAATACACGCAGGGATGAATTAAATGAAGGTCAGTTCTTACAGAGGAGTTTGTCAGTGAAGTTCTTAGAATATCTTACCACAGAAAGAGACCTTGGCGCAGGCGTTTTGAGTATTGTTTAAATTCCTTTAGACAGGGGTCTTTAAGCACGGGGTTAAACCACGACAGCAGTACGAATTTTGGACAGATGACGGCTATTCCTTACAACCTCCTTCCCTTCCCGGCGATGCCGCTGTGAGGGGTCGCTCCCGCGGGCTGAGGGAGCCCCTCAGGGCGCCAGCAGGGGGCGCCTCCCCGCCGGGAGCGCGCCTGACTGCGGGCGGCGGCCAATGGGGGGCGAGGGCGGGGCGGGGGGGGCGTGTCCGCGAGCCACCTCCGCGGCGCTATAAAGTGCGGTGCCGGGGGCGTCGCGGGGCGGGCGTGACGGGGTGCATCGCTGCCGCCATGGGGAACACCGTGGCCAGAGAGGATTTCGAGTGGGTCTACACGGACCAGCCCCACGCCGACCGCCGCAAGGAGATCTTGGGTGAGGAGCCGCGGTGCCGCCGCGTCTTGCCGCCGGCTACGTGGCGGAGCGGGAGGGGGGGCACACACGGGCACCCCACAAAATGGCCGCCCGCGCCGGGGGGCGGCGGGGCCCGCGGGGGGCTCCCGGCGGGAAGAACGGAGCGGCCGGGCCGGGCCCGCGTACGTGGAGGCGGGAGCTGCCGCCTTGGCGGCGCTGGCGGGGGAGGGGAAGGGAAGGAGCGGGGAGAAGGAGGGAGGGAGAGGGCGGCGGCCGGGGTTATCTCCCGAGGGGCCGCCCCGCGGAGCCCTGCGAGCGGTCAGGCGGTGTCAGCACGGAGGGGACACCCCGCGCTCACGAGGGGGGGATAACGGCGTCCTCGAGTGCCGCGCTTAATGCGGGGCTGAGCTCATTGCAGCCCTTCTGAATCGCGGGTGGGTTATTCGGTTCAGAGCCATTTCCTTCCCGGGTAGGCTGGAGGTGACACTGGTGCTTGCCGTGTACGTGTCTAGTTGCTGAGCAACGTGAAAGTGTTAAAATGACTTGATTCCAAGTGATTCATTATAGCAGCAAATATCACAAGTGGGAAGGTCATGCGTTTTCATTACCTTTGCAGACAAATCCTAATTGGGAAGAGGGGAGGGAAAGGCTCTATCTGCTGTTGTAATCTAGTTGGGGTAGTTGGCTGTGAGGAGAGCTTCGAAGTAACTCCTTTTTCTTTCTCATCTAGCTAAACATCCAGAGATAAAAGCATTGATGAAACCAGACTACAACCTGATCTGGGTGGTTGTGCTGATGGTTCTGGCGCAGTTGACTGCATTTTATCTAGTTAAAGACTTGGATTGGAAATGGGTAGTCTTCTGGGCATACGTGTTTGGAAGCTGTATTAGCCACTCCATGACTCTGGCTATTCATGAGATCTCTCACAATAGTGCCTTTGGCAACAGCAAAGCCATGTGGAATCGATGGTTTGGAATATTTGCCAACCTCCCTCTTGGTCTCCCATACTCCATATCCTTCAAGAGATACCACATGGATCATCATCGTTACTTGGGAGGTGATGGAATTGATGTGGACATTCCTACCAACTTCGAAGGCTGGTTTTTCTGCACCCCATTTAGGAAGTTCATGTGGATTGTTCTACAGCCTTTTTTCTATGCGCTTAGACCACTCTGCATCAATCCCAAACCCATTACTCGACTTGAAGTGATCAATTTGTTGGCTCAGCTTTCCTTTGATGTTGTGATATATTATTTATGGGGAGTCAAATCCATTTTTTACATGCTTGCTGGTTCAGTACTTGGACTTGGGTTGCACCCAATTTCAGGACACTTCATAGCTGAACATTACATGTTTTTAAAAGGACATGAGACCTATTCCTACTATGGGCCACTTAATTTGCTCACTTTTAATGTTGGCTATCACAACGAACATCATGACTTCCCCAATATTCCTGGCAAGAGCCTTCCATTGGTAAGTTTACTTCTAAGGTTTTTCTTTAATTAAGCCCTACTTTAACTTGAAAATTAGGTAGAACACTGACAGAAGAATGGAAGTTGGGAGATAAAAAAAACCCAACCAAACAAAACAACAAATAACCAAACAAAAAACACAACATGAGTGATAAAGGAGGTAATTACTTAGCATTTTAGTGGTATCTTCAATAAGCTTCCAGTGTGCTGACTGCCTCTTCCATAAAAGGAGAGGGGAGGAAAAGCATGTCTTATATGCTTTGCACTGACTTTAGCTTCCTGTAATTACAACCTGTCTTCTGATTTCTTTGGTTTGTAAGTATGCACAAAGCTAGTTAAGAAGTTGCAAATAACTTTGGATATTTGTTGTCTCTGCAGTCTTAAGGACAGTGTTGTAACCTGTACTTATCCTTCAGTTTCTCCTATCAGTGACATTCTCTGCTGGGGGAAAGGAGAGGGTTTGAGATTATGTTAATGTTTGTTGTACTGTTGACAAATGTTTAATAACTTTCCAGTCTGGAGCACCTCAGTTCCCTCTGGTAAGAGCCTTTGAACCCTAAATAAGTATCAGCTGACAGAATAATAAGTATCATTCACAGAATTAAGGCTTCTGTGCCAGGACTTAGACCTGTCATGTCTGCATGAGTAGCAGAGGTGAAGTTTCTTCTCACTTCAGTCTTTGTTTCTTAAAGGCAGGAGTTTTGTTCTCATTGTATATGTGTTTCCCAATTGGAGCAAAAGCTTCAGGGGACATTAAATTTGCAATTGGGCAGCAGCTGTGGTGTTGGCCTCGTAGCTTTGTTATTGCACTTGGCAATAGTAAGACCTTATGAGCTTGCCCCTTTGGTGGAGTCTAAACTTATTATTTCTGTTGTCAGTGGTGGAACTGTAGGGGAAAGAAGTATGCCAGCACTTTTAGCAGGGTAGGTAGATCATGTAATTGGTTTGAGGGTTTGTGTGTTTCTTGTTTTTAATGACAGATGATGGCTCTTATTCATAGATTTCATCTTTCAAACACAGCAGAAGTTGCTTTAAGTCACCTTTTATACTTAGGTCTGTGCTGGTGAACCAGAATTCGACTTCTTGCAGAGGTACTTCAGCTATAAATAGGCACGAATTTTTTCAAGTATTTAATTCCAGGGGTAAATACCCAGTTCTGCTGCAGGACTTGTAATCCACAGCTCTGATAAGAAAACAAAGCCTTCTTTTAGAACAGTGTAGTGAATCTGATTGGACTGGACTCTGCTATGCTGTGTGCTAAGATCCCTGAAGTCCTGAACACTTAATGAGCTGGCGAGCTGAGGAGTGTTACTGTTGAATAAAAGTATAGATACACTATTCTATAGGTGTGATGATGGATCCAAAGGATCTTTGGCTTCAAACTAGGCATGTAAATACCTTGGGCTTGTTTGTTGCTTACACAGATTAATATTATTGTTCTGACTAAAGCTGTGGAATTTTGTGGGAAATCGTTTTTTTGTTCTGTTCAGGTTTTTAAGGCTTCAGGTGCTTGGCCTTAAATATCAGTAAGGACACCTAACTGAACCTTCTGCTCTCAGTTTAAAATAGTGGTCTCTAGTCAGCATGTACAGCTGAGAACAGTCTTTGGAAGCAGTTTATATTCATTCTTTAAAGTCTGTCTCCATAAAGGTTCCTCTGAAATAGAATGGTGTTCCTTTTTCTTCTGAATGCTGAGGTTTGAAACTATATGTAAGAATAGCTGTGTTAAACATCTCTTCCCAGAACTCGTAACATCCTTTTTTACTGGTACTCATATACCTATGAGTCAGCACTGAAGTGAGTCATCCCCTTTCAATAGCAACAAAACCACTTGCTTTTGAGAGCTTTATCATCCTGTGAGTAGCACAGTAAACAGACTTTGGAGTGCCAGAGGAGTTTGTTCTGGATATCTTCAAAAGCTGCACATGAAGTTTACGTAACAACCAGGGAATTGCTTTTTCCTTCAAGAAACGTTCACACTGTGGCACTTGTGGCCCTTCCTGTATAATCTAACATCTGAAATGGAAGTGCTGTGCATTAGGTTACACACTGAGGTTACAATTTGCAAAGTTGTCACAATTTGTGCTAATATAACTGGTAAATAAACTTCATATCTCTTCTTCAGGTGAAGAAAATAGCGGCTGAATACTATGACAACCTGCCACAATATAACTCTTGGATAAAAGTACTCTATGACTTCGTGATGGATGACACAATCAGCCCATATTCACGCATGAAAAGGCAATTAAAGGGTGAAGTGAAGCAAGATTAAACTTCTGGCAACCAAAAAACTTTGAAATGTCTGCTTGCTTTAAAGTGGCTGGTATGAAGGTCTCTTGCTAAAGCTGTTCACCTGTGTCCTGAATTAAGATGTACAGCAACATAGCAATGCATCCTTAAGGACTTTGTAGCAGACTCCTACCAGCTGTAACATTCCTCACAGTCCTCAGAATTGTTGGTTTAATGTGTCTCTGTTTGCCTAAGGATCAGTGTTATATGCATAATGCAAAATCACTCTGTTACAGAATTTACTTTGGTAGGTGTTAAATCGATATAGAATATGTCTGACTCATAATATTTTTAAAAGTTCCCAATGTAGTATACTGCCCTCAACATGCTATTTAGGTGACTGTAGTTTTAAAAGGCTGTACTTATCTGTTAATTCTGAACTAACATAATTTGTTAACTTAAACCTTCTGTTGAAAATGTTTCCAAACTTATGGTTGGAAGAGCTAAATTTGCACAGAAATGTTAAGTCTGCTTTTGTTTATATATGTAATATGTCATTTGAAGCATTGCTTTAAAGTTTTAGCTTTTCTACTTAAAGTACCTTAAAGGAGCAATCTATCAGAATGAAACCAGTATCCTCGAGATGGCTTCTGTGACTTCTTTGTTGAAAAAAAAAAAAAGTGGGGAATTCAAGGGTATTGCCAACTCTGTGGTCCCACTTACTGCCTGAGCTGCTTATGTTGGCATACAGTGTGAGCAGGTGGCATTTAGGAAACTTAAAATAACTGATTTGGGTTTTCACACTGGAGAAATCATTACAGTTTGAGGTTTTTCTCACCTTCAAAGAAAAATGATTACCATGTTACCATGGTTTTAAATGCCATAAATATTTACACTCATTTGGAAATCTGGCTTGTATGGAAAATGGAATAGATTGAAACTGATATTGTTCTGGCAAACAAGGCTTGCTACAACCACTGCCAGTTTTACCTACTGAGCATATTAGTAATTTATGTACGCAGAAAGGTGTTGTTAAATAATCTTGTTTGGTTTTTTTCCTCATAAACCTACAGTACCCTTCATAAATACTTGTCTTTCTTACATATTAAAATGTGGTGAGAAGTGGTGATATCAAATTTCCTGCTTAAGAAGTTTTTAATTGGGAACAGAGAATGGATAGCCTTGCTGAAAACCGAAGAATTTACTTATACCTCAGCACAGTAGATTTGCCTTCTACCACCTAATGCACTGATGATGGCTTTAAGCAGTTAAATGTGGCTACAAATCACCCTTAAATCTCAAATGGTCATCCTGTGGTATGTTCTTCACTAACCTGAAAGATGGAATCTGAAGAAGGTGGAATTTGTAGCCGCTGGTCTGCTGCAAGTAACTTAATTTTAGATGCCTTCAACTCTTGCATTTTGGTGTGGGGTTTTTTAGGGTGTCTGTTTTTTGTCAGGATTTTGGGGGGCTTTTTGTTTGGTTGGGGTTTTTGTTTGGTTGGTTGGTTTTTTGGTTTTGGTTTTTTTTGTTGGGTTTTTTTTTTGTGGTTTGGGGTTTTTGTTTGTTTTGGTTTTTTGTGGTTTGTTGTTTTGTTTGGTTTCTTTTTTTTTAAGAAGGTGAGAGCTTGAAAAGAATTTGTTGGTACATCTTAATCTCTGTTCCATTGTGGTCCTGTTCTTAATGTGTGTTTTGTTTATGGGCCCTTGCCTGTGGCTAAGCAATAGAAATGGAATGAAAGTATGCCAGCCACTTCCAAAGTGACTTCATTGTGCCAGAAACATGAGAGATAGCCAGCATATTGCTCAGGGTAGAGTGTAATGTCAAAATACACGTTGTCCGGTATTTTTACATGTAATTAAAAAGCAAAGATTAAAGTAATATTGGGTGAATTTTTGATTGGTCCCCTTATGCTGAAAGACTTAAGCTTTAGAGAAATTTGGTATTTTTAAAGCAGATTCAAGACCTGTTTTATTGAGTGGTGGTATAGATGAACTATAAAGAATTGCTGCCTTTCCTCTTTCCTCAGGAAAACTGACTTTAGTTGAAATACTTGTATAGGTTTAACAAGTTGCAAACCGGCTTCTTTTAATCTCACTCTTTAATCTCACCCTTTTCTTCTTAAGTTATCTCTGTTGAGGAATTATCATAGGTGGATGAAGGATGGAAAGTGTCTCCAAAATTTTTATGGCTAAGAGCTGAAGTTAAGAAATTCAGCTATCCTACATGAATACTTAAGATAACCAGAGTTCAGAGTCAAAATTTTATAGCTACTTCGTTACCTATGTAGTGGAATCACTGATGTTCCCTTCTGTCCCCCCAATGGATAGTGCAAGTGTAAATTCCTGCTTTTAATCAGGACTGAAGTTGCCATGTCTCGTTTAAAATTGCAAATGTTGCTTTAAGGTGTTCTGACTATGCTGTTCTCTTCCAACTCCCATTATAAACACACTGTTTCTCACTTCAAGAGGTGCAGAATAGTGGGGAGTTCTGAGGGAGATATCTATGCTTGCCATAATCTTTCTGAAACATCTGCCAATGGCTACCTGTTGGAGAACACTTACTGGATTAGTGTTCTGAGCCAGTAAGACTTAAATTTGGATCTAAACAATGGCCCAATTCTTGCAAGCATTGGTAAATCCCATTCTTAGGCATATGATTCCCGTGTAATATGCAAGAGGCCTTGGCATCCAACTTCAGTAGTAAGGATTTTGCCAAAAGCAGATCAGCTGGAAGTTAACCTACCCCACAGCATAGTTTCATCCCTAAAACACAGTTAGAGGCACTTCTGAACCACTGGTGAAAGTAATTAAGAACAGCTGGGCTACTTGATTTGTGTTTGATATATTCTAAATGTACAACTAGTTTCATCCAGTCATACTTAAATGTGGAGTTTACTCCAATGCCATGGCACAGAACTAAGAAACACTTAAGATTTTTTTTAAAAATATACATATATCATTAGTTATTGGTTTTTAAGGAAATAAATAGTCTTCATTAATACAATTTAAAATAGATATGGCAGAAACAGGTTAGTGTAATTTTTGAAACATTTTATCTGAAAGTTGGAGGGAGCCTTGACTAACCGATGAAGAACTAATTAAACCTAAAGAGCAGTAAGAACCCTGACAGTTAACCCAATTGTGATTTTTTCTAAATCTGTTCAGATGGAATGAGTTAACTCTGTTTCTACTTGCCTGTTAGGGTTTGTTCCTTTCTGTGTAACTAAAGCACCTCAGTTTGGCAAACATCTCCTTTATGTGAAGTCGGCCAGGAGTTCAACTGTCATCTGAGTATTTTAGCTGCAGTGAAATTGGGCAGAGCCCTGAATCCCCTTTAGGGCTTTCAGAGTAACTTGCAGTTTTCAGAGTAAACTTCCTTGCATAGCTTTTAACACTCCCTGCCCCCAATTATTTGAAGTTGCTTAAGTGGAATAAGTTGTGTGTCCTGGAATCTAATTGTACTAGGCATTAGTTTTCCCACAGGACAGGTGTGGGTATATCCCTCTTTCAAAACAACTCTTGCCTCTGGCATTCTTGTTTGGCTGTTGAACCTGTCTGCTCCCGGTCAGTGGCCAATTAACATGTATGAAATAGGTTTCTGGCTGCAGATCTCCGTGCTTTCAGATCCCTGGCAAGACTTCCCACCTGGCACTAGAGGTCAGCTGAAAACTAGCTAAGACTTTCAGTTGTGTGTCTCAGAATTCTTCTGGTGATGTCTTTAAATGTAGCTGGTGAGCGCATCACACACACAGGAAAGTCTACAAGTGTTGCAAAATGTATCTGTTCTAGGTAAGTGGCCACTGTCAGACTATGAGGTCAGTGATTCACCTGTGCCTCCTTGACTTTTACTCCTTGTATCACATGAAGAGGCATGTTGCAGGAGAGCTTAAAGCTGTTCATTCCTTATTTAATGATGAAGTTCAACAACCAATAAACATCAGTGCTGTAGGCTGCCATACTAATCCTGCTGGACAAGCAGGAGAAAAGTCACTTCCCAACAGCAATCTTGTCTAAGTAGTCTGACACAGCTTCTGGAAAGTGTACTCCTCTGTAATTTGAAAGTCTCAAAAGACTTATGGCAGAGCAAGCTCTGCTGTTTTAGCTCACACTGCAAAGCACAGGAGCCACTTCTGGGTCTGCCAACGTTGCTTCTGTAAGATCCTAGGAAAAATCTGATAAATAGGTGTGGCTAAATCATGTGCCTTTAGCACAGTAACCTGCAACTCAGCACACAGTTCTCTTCTGTAGCAAATCCTCCATTTCACAACGAAGCCTGAAGTGGTATGCAAGACTTCAGTCAGAACAAAGATGTGGGAAAAGTTTCCTATTGAGCCAAGAATGAAGGCAGATTTTTTTTTTTTCCTCCTGTTGACAGTTCTCTGCACTACCTCTACCCCCTATCCATGCTTAAGCACCTACTCTGCTCTGGGACAAGATCATTATTGTGGTTTAGATATGTTGCTAGCCTCAGGAAAAGGGAGGGGAGAGTGGCACGATGAACAATTCCGTGATCTTGTCACAACAGAAACAAGGTGACTAGAGGCAAAACCTCTAGGCATGTCTGCTGGGAGGGGTGGTAGCTGCATATGCAGAACAAAATATCTGTCTCTTATTTTCTCAAAAGGCTCAGTTCCTTAAAGCAGCTCCCATTTTCTGTGTACAAAGGATCTCTTCTGTACAAAGGATCATTGTTTTTTAGTGATACATACTATAGCCTAAGCAGAATTTCCCACAAGAAAAAGTAGCAGTGTGGGTGCACTGCTCCTGTGTGAACAGTCCAGCAGTTCAGTTGCTGTCTTTGCTCCTTGATGCACACACAGCCCAGGCAAGGCAAGCAAACAGGATATGGACACTTGACTGATCTGGCCTTTTCTGGCTTTCAACTTGACTTCACGTTTTCCTGTAAATTCAAACCCTCCTGTACCCCACTTCCCCTTCCATTATCACCTGTTAAGAAACAAGAATGATCATGAGACACCTTGAATATTAAACATGTTTTGTGTTGGAACTCTTGACAAGACTAAATTGTTATTATGGTTACTTGAACAGTATTTCCTTCTTTCTTGCTCCATATATACACAGGAATAACACCATCATGAGAGTAAAGGAAAATTTTTAAGTGAATATGCCAGGGCTTGAGGACTTCATTCCTTCCTAAGCTCATCAACCACAGCTATCCTCAAGTATTGTAGTAGGAATCTTCTATATATCCATAAAGGAGAAATCATTGATTCCTTTCTTTGGTCCACTCAAAGGAATTGAGTGTATTATTATGAGCAAAGGCTGAGAAAACTGTTTGTTCAGCCTTGAGATAAGAAAGCTTAAGGGAGATCTTACCACTATGTTCCAGGGGTGGCTACAAAGAAGATGGAGATTCTCTTTTTACAAGGAGTCACATGGAAAAGAGGAGGGGTAATGGGTGCAAGTTACTCCTGGGGAGCCTCCAATTGGAAATGAGGAAAACTATTCCAATAGCTGATGGTTTCAGTGTGAAAAATCTCAGGAAAAGTGGTAGATTCCCCAATGTCAGACTTGTAAGATGCAGCTGGACAGGGTGCTGGGCCATCTTGTCTAGACTGTGCTTTTGTCAAGAAAGGCTGGACCAGGTGATCCTGGAGATCCCCTTCCAACCCTGCTACTGATTGAAAACAATGATTCTCCATCTTGGGTTTCTGGGAATCACAGTAATTCCTGAAGCCCCAAGCCTGATCTACAATTAAAAGCAGACATGTCATCTTCTGCTTTATACACAGGGACTTAATTTGTTAGTCATAGGAGCCAGAATTTGAGTCACTGAGGCTCCAGCTTCCTGAGGAGAGGGAGGGAATGTTGCACCATGTTGAGCAAAAATCACAGTGCTAAGTTCAAGCTGCCATGAGTGTCAGTATTTTTAAAATGCAAGTCT